TTCGTGAATTGCGACATCTTCTCCACGCTGTTCGAGAATTGATTCTTCAAGTTCTCGGAGATTTTCACCCAGAACGGTGCGTCGCTCGGCCTCTTCAACCCGTAGAAATGTTGATTCGGATAATAGTTCTTCGTTGTGTAAGTGTCGACGATATTCTTGTCGTTCAACACGTATTTCTTCTTCTGCCTTTGCTCCGTGAACGAGTATTGATTCTCCGGGAAGTTGTCGGGCCGTTTCTTCTCGTTCTTCACGATCTTGGCCGGTTGGACGCCCAATTCCGGATGGGCGTATTGGAGGACGGGCGCCCTTGCGCCCGGTTTCAGGGCGATCGGCGCTATCTTCTGGCTCTCGGGCGTGTACAATTGGGACACGGGGTAGACGGATACGCCGTCAGGGTGGAGCATTCGTTTGCGCCCGTTGCTTCGGTAGCCGTCCGTCCTCGCCTCGTACACCTCCGCTTTCAACGCCTCGTTTTTATAATTCTTAGGATCCCACTCGAAGAACACGTTCTTCCCTTCCTCCTCGTACTCTTTACCGTACCTGTTGGTTGATCGGAGATTACAAACGATAAATTATTCTTTTATCTCGGTTTAATATCGATTACAAATTATTCTAATAATCGAAAAATTCTATGATTCGTTGTTGAACAAATGCGTTTATATTTATTGATAAAAATAAAGAAAAAGAAATTAATATGTAGATAAATAAATTATCAAAATATCAAACGTATCGTTAGATATATAATTATTTAGAAAATTAATCTTCAAATGCGATTTAAACGCATATTATAAATTAATTTCATTCTATAAAATTCAAATTTTTACGCGCTTGAATATATTGATTTATATTGGGTTGTTCGGAAAGTAATTTCATTTTTTCACACGAATGTCACTAGTCGAGCACTTATCCAGACAACTTCGTTCTAGAGTAGAAATTATTGGGTTGTCGGAAAGTAATTTCGTTTTTTCACGCAAGTGTCGCTAGTCGAACGTTTATCCAGCCAACTTCACTCGAAACCGTGTTATATATTTCGAGAGTTGGCATTTCGGTTGATTTATTTATAAGAAAAATTCGTTTGATTCTGTGCGATTGTGTTTTTCGTGTGTGATAACAACAAGATGCAAGATCAAAAGGAGCATATTTTACATTTTTATTACGAGAAAGGTAAGAATGCTGTTCAAGCAATAAAAAAGTTATATGAAGTGTATGGAAAAGATGTATTAACAGTACGAAACAGTATGGAAAGTGGTTTTCAAAATTTCCTTTCGACAATTTCGACGTTAAAGATGCGCCACGTTCTGGAAAACCGATCGAAGCAAACCGACAAATAACGACTCGAGAAATTGCTACGAGATTGAATTCGTCGAATCTAACTTTCGTTCGTGATCACGTGAAGCGACTTTCGGTTTCGTTTCGAACAAAATTACTTTCCGAACAGCCCAATATAATATAAAAATTTTTAATTCATCGACGACGGGTACGAACCTATTACCTTTCACAAGCTCACAAGCGTGGACAAGTATAATCCGAAAGAAACGATCTAACTAAAAACCGTACCTTCTATTCACGTTCTGGAAGAACCTCTCGAACCTTTGCCTCTCCAAAACGTTCTCCGTCGGATAAAAGTTGGAACTAGGATCCCCCATCGTCCCTTCCCCCCCATCGTGGATCAATTTATTGTTGATCACCCGAGCGTTCCGCCATGTTTGAATCTTGTCTATCGGCTCGTCCGGAACTCTTTTCCCGTGGATCACGGGTGTACCATCCCCGTCCAACGTCATCGCCGACCTCTTCGGGTTCGTTTTCACGTTTATCTCCGACCTGACCATAACTTCAGCCGGCACGTTCTTTCCATCCCTGTTCTTCGACGCGTTCGCCCCGATGTTGGTCCTCGACGAGCGCACCTGGTGCGTCAGGAACGCGTACCGCGCCCCCTCCTCGCTCTCTCCCCGCTCCCCCAACTCCAGCTTCCTCTGAGACCTGTCTTGAAAATGACGCGACAACAGCAATCCACCGGCAGGAAAGACAGGATCGAACCTCGCGTAGCTCGACCTCTCCTCGTTGGTCGCGGTAGTGGTGGCGGCGGTGCTCGTCTTCGAGTTGGCTCGAAGAGGTTTCCAATTCTGGTACTCCTCGGTGCTCGATTCCTCGAGCTGGACCACGGCCCTTCCGTCCATACCCAGAGGCGTCCAGTTCCCGTAATCGATATTCCTCTCGCCGATAGGCGGTCGATC